TAAATTCTACTTTAAATAAAGAAGTCTGGATTTCGAAATTTAATTACAAATATTTTGAAATGGATTTGAAATAAATAAATATTAGCTCATTAGATTTTTCTAGTCGTAAGGAATCGAATGATAATTGGTTTATATGAATCAGAGCAATATTGACTAAGATTATATATTTTTTATTTTTTTTATTTTTTCTATATATAAAAAATCATATAATATGACGTCATTTTGACTATTTCAACTTTTTATTTTGACTTTAACCTCTAAAGTCAAAACATTTCAATTTCTGGATTTTCATTTTGACTTTATGTATAATCCTGATTATTAGAATATCTCTTAATACTTACTTTTATAAAAAAATAAAAAAATGTTAAAGAAAGATAATGAAAAAATATTTTAACAAAAAAAATATTATTTAGATTACAATAGCAATTTATATATGAATAGGAATATGAAAAAATAAAAAGAAAAATAATTTGAGAAGGTTTTTTATTTTATTTATAAGCTAAGTTGCAGTTATCTTTGAATAACATTTTTTTAAGTAAAAAGTTTGAAATAAAATCCAACAAGTAAGAGAAAATATTATATATTTTCTACTTATTTTTTTTAATAATATAATATAATAACTACCAATAATTTTATTAAATTTATTTATAAAATAATATAATAAATAAATTAAAACAAATTTATAAAAAGTATTAGCTATTCTTGTAATTATATTTTAAATCTATTTAAATTGATTTATCATTATTATTTTTTCCAATAGACCAATAAGTACAAACTTAATAACTATTATTATCATAAAGAAATTTATTTTTTACTTTTTACATAAACTATTATTATTAATATAGTTTAAAATAAGTGTTGTTAGTGATAGTCTTATTATGATGCACAATACTGTGCCAAACATAATTGACAAATGGTAATTTTAACGATCATGATTCTTAACTTTCTACCATTTCTTTGATTTTTCTAATTTCACTAATTTTTTAGTAATCTCTAATTTTGCACATTTTTCCAATATATTTTTTAATTTCTTATTTTATTATATTTCTTATATTTCTTTACTATCTTAAATATCTATTTCATATTAATGTATTTTATATAAATATCTTATATTTATGTCTTAATAAATGGCAGACTCATTACCAATTCTCTAATAAATCAATAACATTTTATCTTTTAAACTTATTCTTGCTCATAAAATAATTTATTCTTCTTTAAATCTATATCAATAAAGATGACCTGACCCTTCAATTTAAATATTTGTATTTATTTCTTCTATAATTTAGATACACTTAAATTTCCTGTTAGCAAATAATCTTTGTTAACTTAACGACGAACAGTTTAAGCTTAATAGTGTAATCATTTTTTAATAATTTTATTTTTAAATTTATAAGGAGTTTTATTTATTAATTAAAGTTAATTTTAGATATTAAAAATTAATTATCTTATAAATAATATTTTTATAATAAAATTTATAATATTTTTTAAGTAAAATCAAAAAAAAAATTTATATTAATTAGTAACTTTTTGCATTAATTTAAGATCAAAGTTTTGAATATTTTTTTTTTCTTTATAAAAATTAAAATTTATAATTATTATTTATTTTTATTAAATAAATATAAAAATTTATATTTAAATCATTATTTAATTTTGTGTATTTTAAGATTTTTTAGAGTTTATTTTTACTTACTTTCTTTTCTTTTCAGAAACAGATCTTTTATTTTTATTTAGACAGGAGATAAATTTCTTGAGGGAGTTCTTAGGGATTGGTTTCATTCTTTTTACTAACTTTCTCTTCTTTTTTTTGGAACAGTTTTTTTTCAAACAGGAGGTAAGTTTTTTAAGAAATTCTTGGGATAGGTTTCATTCTTTTTTACTAATTTCATTTTTTTTTAGAAGTGGATTTTTCATCCTTTTTCAAACAGGAAGTAAATTTCTTGAGAAGGTTTTTGGAAGTGGATTTCATTCTTTTTTATTAATTTCATTTTTTTTAGAAGTAGATCTTTCATTCTTCTTTGAATAGAAAGTAAGTTTCTTTAGAGGATTCTTGGGAGTAAATTTTATTTTTTATTAACTTTCTCTTCTTTTTTTTTTAGAAGTGGATTTTTCATTTTTCTTCAAATAGTAGATAGGATTCTTAAATGTGAGTTTTATTTTTTTATTAACTTTCTCTTCTTTTTTCTCAAGAAACTTACCTCCTATCCAAAGATTAACGAAAAGATTTATTTCTAAATAAAAGAAGAAGAAGTTAGTAAAAAAAATCCCTAAAAAAAACTTATCTTCTATCTGAAGAATAATGACTTCTAAAAAATTATTTACTAATCAAAATCATTTCTTTCAACACTAATACCTTTCAGTCAATATTTAGCTGATTTGGTCATGTGATTCAGTAAAATTTATCTTAAATTATAAAAATTGATAGTCATTTGTTATATTATTCATAATTTGATATTATTTCAACACTAAAACCATTTGATAAACATTCAGCTTGAGATTAAAATTCAGTATAAAAATTATAACAAATCTACTGTTATTTATTTTATTTATTATACTATACATAATTTAACATTATTTCAGCATTATGACCTTTCAGAAAATATTTAGATGATTCAATATGGTAAAAATTTCAGTTATACTTTAAAATTCAACATGCATAAGGCAGGCTTAGGAAGTACAGTGTTAGTACAATGATTAGTACAGTTAGTATAGTTAGTACATTATAATAATTAATATAAAAATTAGTACAAATACAGTATAAGTACAGTGGTAATTTTATCTAATACATACAAAATTCCCAACACTGCATAAAGTATTAATTTGCATGAGATGCTGATAGAATATTAAATATAAAAATGATAAAAGGTAATCAGCTCAGATATTATAAAAATGGATTAGTAATTTATGCTAGTATACAAATTGATATCTGACGTATAAAAAATATATAAAATATTATTATTATATTAACTAAGATTAATGAATTAAATAAACTAATCACATTAAATTTATTTAATCTCTTCTAATTAATTTTATATAAAATTATTTAAACAATTAATACCTTTTAACTTTATATTACTGACAATACTGTTTTTAGATTTTATTAGCTAAGCAGATTATATCTGGATCTAATATAGTATGACTCATTTTTCTAAATTATTAAGTAAATCTAAAAAGAATAATGAGCCTAAAATAGTATTAAATACTAATTCAACTAAGATTTTAGATTCTACATCTTTTTACTAAGATTGTTAAATAATATACTGAGTTAATTCTATAATAATCTTTTTTTGTAAGAATGAATTAGATAATACAGTCAAATTTTGATATAGTGAATTCTGATATAGTGAATTTTTAACCAAATATATTAAAATTACCTTACTATAGTGAATCAGCCAATTAAATTCTTTAAAAAATTTGTTATAAGTTTATAATGAAGTTAAGATTCAGACTTTAGGGTTCGTTTTATCAAAAGTTCATTGTATAGTCAGACCTCTCCAAATGCATCCTCTAGGACTGAGTTTAAGAATACATTGAGAGAGGATGTGCATTAAAAAAAAATATGTATTTAATGGGATTTTGTGATACAATAATAATAAATTTATTTGTTTATATTATATCTGATACTGGATTTAAATTGATTTTTTTATTTGTCTAATATTTAATAAAATTTATATTATATTATTACTGTTATTATTTATTATTGAATAAATTGATTGTTCCTAAATTTTTTATCATATATAGTCACGTAATATGTATTTAGAAAAAACCGAAAAACTTCTTACACATGTTGAACGTAGAGGATGCATTTAGCATTTAAATCCTAAGCTTGGTAATAACCAAACTGTATATATAAAGAGAGTGTGTATTTTATAGAGGTCTCATTGTATATATTTATTACTCTTGCTTTTGATTCTGCTTCTTGAGAAATACTAGAAATATCTGATGTAACTGATGTAACTTTACTTTACATTGATCAACTTTCTGAAAAGGAACTAATGTCAGATATTTGCTTTTATTAAACTTGTATCCATTCTGAAGATGCCAGCATGCTTGATTTCTTTACACTTTATCATTTAAGAGCTTTAAATAGTTCTTATGCATTTGAATAAGATCATTAAAGCCTATTTTAAAAATAAAGATTATGCATGTTCTTTAATGAACTTTGTAGTAATGAAAGATTATATTATTATAATATGTTGTTATTCTATAATAAAACTAAGTTATCCTATTTCAAGTATATATATACTACGCAGAAAAATTTTGCAACTTTCAACAATGGTAGTGAAAAAATAATTTATTTGATTCTTGAGGAAAATTTTTCACTGGCTTCGAGTATATGCGAGAAGGCCGAACTTGCTTATTTGCTTTTTACCATAACGTATTATTTTCTAAAATATCAAGCCATGAAGATGTAACTCATTATCTTCGAGATCACAACGAATTAATCTTTCAAGCACTGACATCATATGGGGCCTTTGCAATAGAAAGGGGGGAAACTGCCGGGAAAATCAATTTTACTTTTATATGCCAAATATGATTTTTAGGCTGAAATATGTTCAAATTTAGCATTAACTCATTTTTTATTTTTCCGGAAGTTTCCCCCCTTTCTATTGCAAAGGCCCCATATATTCAAGATATTATAAATTCATGTGATTTTGAAAATTTTTAATTTATTTTAACGCGAATTTAATTCGTCGATTACGCGAACGATATTGTATTTAAATGTCTAATAGTAAAATATCCTCTTTATGCTTCAGAAAAATTATTCAGCAATAAAAGACAAAAAAAAAATATTATTAGCAATGTGCTGGTTCTTTTTTTGGACTCCGATAGGTAACATTAAATTTAAAAGTGGTAATTCAACTTGAATGCGTGAGTGAGTTTATTATGAAATTGTTAACACATTCGTTGCTAATAATTTTTTTAAAATAAATAAATAAATACTTAAATAATCAAAATCTATAAAAAAAAAATGCAAGTCCAGATCCCGTCCATCGCATGCGTTATATTGATTCATCAATTTGACATGGTAAACCAACAATAACGCTTTCTAAAGTACCTTCACGTATAGCGCGAGCGTAATCCCCTGGGAAATGATCATTAATAAAAAACGGGAACCTGGATGTGCACAATTATAAATAGATAAATAAATTTATATGATTTCAACAAGTGTCCTTTCTTTTAACATACATTATTCTGAAGAAAATTCTAAGCCAACTTTCATTTCTCATTCTTCTTATTGTGTTAAGATTTAGAAGACCAGAAAGCTGTAAGAAAGAAATTCTACGTATAGGAATAGGAATATTTGTAACAGGGTCAGGAGGGTATATGTACATTGAAAATGAAGCATCCATGTACACTAGATTCCCGGGTGGGCTTGAATAAGGAGCCCACATAGGAACTCTAGGAACTGCATCTGGTTGTAAAAAAAAAAAAAAAGAATTAAAGGCTATTTAATAATTTATTCCTAAATAACAAACATTTCAATATAATAAATACCATTGTTATAAGCGTGATGAAACATTTTCTTTCCGATCTCAGGACCAAATATTTTCGCGAAATCGATATCTCCTATATTTGGTTGACCATAGGTATATATACCAGAAAAAATATCAAGTAATGGACTATTATGTTGTAATAATTTGGCCAAAAATACAGTTGCTAAACCACCGCCCAAACTATGTCCTGCGATGTACAAACATTTTTTCGATTTCCTTTGTCTAATATCATTTGACCTTTCGATTCCGGAATCATTATTGTTTTCCTGCTCATTATCTTCTTCAGTTTCCTTACATAACTTGGATATCCACCTTGTAGCTTGACTATATGCGCTAATAAATCTTGCATCTTCGCCAAGATATCTATGATCTACAGGATCATGTATATGAGTGATCATACTTTGAAGTGCAAAAAACATCACCGTCTTCAACGCTCCAAATATGGTTTCCACAGTTTTAACCAAGGAAGCGTTGGATAATTCTATGATGGATTGTGATTGAGGAGGTAATTCATTTAAATCCTCCCCCAATGCTTCATAGAATCCTTCATGCACCAAACCCATTGAACCTTGAGTGGATGATTCCATTTTACAAAGGAGAGCCCTTATATCAGTTAAACAATTTTGAATATTTAATGGATTTGTACCTCTAAAAACTAAAATAATGTTATCATCTTTCTCAGCTATATATCCACAAACGTTCTTATAAGCTATAGGTTTAAATGAATTCATATCATAACCAGAATTTTCTAATTCAGATTTGATAATAGGAATATCTTCATAAGCCAATTTAGATGCCATGGCCAAGGATAATGCCAATTTCTTGTTATAATTTGGAAATAAATCACCATACAATCTTTTATTCTTTTCTGATTCTTCACTATTCTCAAATAATCCTAAAGGTTGAAAGTTCATATCGGAAGCATTAATAGGGCTATAATGAAATCCTGACTCTTTATGAATTCCCGTTGCTCTTGATAAAATGACTCTAACCAACGCATCGCCCATCAATAAGGCAATAAACCAAAGAAAGAATGTTGCTTTAACACACCATGAAATTATCGGTCCTATTACTCTCGTATTATTTAAATAATTTACTATCGGTGATAAATTATTACTAAATTTAGTTAATGTTTTCAATAACATTGGAGCACAACATTTACAAAGATTTATCCAAAAGAATGTCGTAAACCCTAACGAAAATAATAATATGAATGAAATTATCCCACCCCAATAAAAGTATTTGTTTTCCTGGATAAATCCATAAAATCCTATCAAAAGTAGTGTAATTGACATTATCAACATCACCTCCAAAAATAATCTATTCAATCCATTCATCATATTTACGTTTCTTGAAAATTTATTATTTGCACGGAAATTGATTTTTGACCTTTTAAATATATATTCAAAGATCGACAAATCCGAAAATTTGTCACTTAAAGACATGCAGAACTCACGAGCCATGCACGTGAATCATCAATGCCTTTTGGTATCAAAAAAGGAAACATCATGTTAAAACTTAATATAGTGAAGCGGAAATTTTAATGGTATATTTTCTGGTTGAAACACTTTGAATGTCACGTGAGCTAAAATTTCTCGTCACTCGTAAATTTATCGTTTTATTTTTTATTTATTACGCATAGATTTGATTTTAGTAATTACATATTGGTAAATTTGTTGACTAGTATTTAAAGTATTCTTGGCATCTATTGAACCATAATCTGAAGCTTTTTTATACCAATTAATAGCTTCTTCAAGGTCCATTTTAATTCCAATGCCAAATTGATAACATTTTCCCACATTATATTGTCCCTGATAATTGTCATCATTGGCAGATTTTAAATAATATTTAAATGCTTTCTCTTCATCTTTAGCTGTTACTATCCCTTTTGCATAGTAATCTCCTAAGGAATTCTGTGATCCAGAATGCCATTTAGCAGATTTCAAATACCATTCAAATGCCTTCTTTTCGTTTTTACTCGTCCCTATACCGTATTTATAATAATTTCCTAGTTGGAATTGAGCGATAATATTTCCACCCTCCGCAGATTTCAAATACCATTCAAATGATAGAATTTTACTCTTAACCGTTCCGATACCATATTGATAACAATATCCTAATTGATATTGTGCGATAGGATTACCGCCTTCCGCGGATTTCATATACCACTCAAATGATTGTTCTTCATTTTTAATCGTTGCAATTCCATATTGATAAAAGTAACCTAATCTGTATTGTGCATAGATATTACCTCCTTCCGCGGATTTCAAATACCATTTAAATGATTGAATATCATTTTTAATTATCCCGATCCCACATTCATAAAAGTATCCTAATTTATTTTGTGCTATGGGATTTCCTCCTCTAGCGGATTTTAAATACCATTCTAAGGATTGAACCTCATTTTTAATAGTTGCAATCCCGTATTCATAAAAATATCCTAATTGATATTGTGCATCTGAATTTTCTTCTTTAGCAGATTTTAAATAACTTTCAAATGCTTTCTTTTCATCTTTATTCGTTCCTTTACCGTAATAATAACATTCTCCTAAATTGAACTGGGCATCCGAATTTCCCTCTTTAGCAGATTCAATATACCATTCAAATGCTTTGATTTCATTCATTCTCGTTCCTGTACCATATTGATAACAATTACCTAATTGATATCGTGCATCAAAATTCCCTTCTTCCGCAGACTTCATGTACCATTCAAATGATTTTCTTTCGTTTTTAATTGTACCGATACCATATTGAAAAAAATAACCTACTTGATATTGTGCTTCAGTATTCCCTCCTCCCGCGGATTTCAAATACCATTTAAATGATTGCGTTTCATCTTTACCTACACCTATACCATCCTTATAACTATCCCCTAATTGAGATTGCGCGTGGACATTTCCATTCTCGGCTGATTTCAAATACCACTCGAATGATCGTGTTTCACTTTTATTCGTTAAGATGCCGTATTTATAATAATAACCTAATTGAAATTGTGCATCTGCATTTCCACTTTCGGCGGAATTCAAATACCATTTGAATGATTGCGTTTCACTTTTACCCGTTCCTACTCCGAACTGAAAACAATAGCCTAATTGAAATTGTGCTTTGATATTTCCTCCTTTAGCGGACTTCAGATAATATTCAAACGCCCTCTTCTCATCTCTGTTCACTCCTGTCTCATACTGATATTTCAACCCCAAGTCATATAATGCTTCTGGGTCATCAACATTTAATGTCTGATCATGAGACTCTTCTATATCTTCAACCTTTGATTTGATGAATTCTAAACTTTTAATCATGCTTCCTTTTAATTCTTTGAGATTTTTTTCAAAGTGTCCTTGTGAATCTATAAATTCATCTATTAAATGTGCTATGCGTGTAAGATTCCAATCATTTAAGAACCTTTTATTCAAATCGATTACTTTGAAATAAAATAATGATAGTAAATACTTTGCGATAATATTATTTATGTATGGAAATTCATCACATTTAATTGCTAATAAATACATTTCCAATGACTTATCCTTATCAATTTCACATCCTATTCCGTATTGATAAAAAAAACCAATAATGCTTGAAAACCATATTTCACGATTTTCATGATTTTGCATAAATTCAAGAATTTCTTTGGTATTTTTGATTTCTTCTTTAAGCAAATCCTTTAAATATTTTTCAAGTGAATCATCAAAATTATCCGCATTGACAAGTTCATCGTAAAATCTCTTTACTAGCGTCTTTGAAAATTGAGAATACATCACGTTCCTCCCAAGTGTGAAGTTATTAAAAAAAATGATTCAATCGACGAGTTCAAGGTGATAAAAGTGTATTTTGAAATTAATGGTAAAGATTCATTTTAAAAATAAATCTCAGTTTTCTAAATCAAGTTTAAGGATCCTTTTAAATGGATTACCGCTTTTTATAGTAAGAAATACCAATGTAATTGAAAATCTCTAATTGGTCTAATCTAGTGAATTGCTTATTGTGTAATAAAAAGTTGCATGAAGATTTTTTTTCACTACATCGAATTGTTTGTTTATTCGAAATTATCTTGATTAGGTACCGCTTTGATTTACGATTTCATTCGTTCTCTTGTTATATATCTATTTTTTGTTTTCATTAATGCCGAACAAATTAAATTTTTTTTGGTTGGTGTCACCGTAAGTATTGAAGGGTATCATTGATATGTTGATGCTAAACATGGTTCATCAGTAAAATTAATAAAATTGTCTTTAATATCAGATGATGTTTTTAGATGATATTATTTCAAAATTTTGATTTTGATTTTTTTTTTTTGTCACAAGTTTATTAGAAGCGCTAAAGTTTTCACCCACCAGCTCAGGATATTTCATCTCCTGGCGTTATGTTAAACTGATCTACGATGGGTCACCTATGCCATGTCTGTTCTACAAATGACCATGGACGGATTCAACCATTACTCCATATCGCTGTAGCAGGGATATCCCAAATTCTTTGCTTAGTAAGTTATCACCAAGATCCATTACCTGGGATGACGAAGCGACCTTACACAGATTATGCCGTGGGAGCTCCAAAATAACATTTATAATTTTAAAAAACCGACATTCTATAACCAATTAACACTAGGCCGTAATCGGCCAAATTTGCAATAGATTTTGAGTCGGCCAAAATAGAATGATCAATTTTTTTTAACTAGAATTGCTACATACAATTAATGCAAAATAAATGACGCTTCAAACTTCGGAATATTCAAATTATTGCTAAGTTTCGGGAAGTTCTAATTATTGCATTATTGCAATAATTGATGGCGGAACTTTCAAAATATTGCATTTTTACAATAATTGACACGTTTAGAATTATTGCTTCCCTTAAATCCCGTGACATTTGGCCATTTGGCCACTTAAAGTTATGGTTTATTAGTCGGAGAAGTCCAGAAAAAATGTTCCACAGAAAATGAGTCGTTAAATTTGAAACATAACATTTCGGATGCTTTGCATACACACAATATAATCAATTTACTTAAAAATTGAACTGTTTAATCTTTATGGTTTATGAACATATTTATAGAGAATTGGCTAAATTAATAAAATGCTTTTCACTTCGAAAATCAGTTAACGTTAACGATGATATTTAATATTTAAAAACATTTATTTTTCTTTAATCCCAAGCTTACATTTGTATGTCGGTAAGATCCTTTTTTATTACACAGTTTATTAGGATGTTCGTCAAGTGACCGATCTTGTTTTTATTATTTGTATTTATCATTGTTTAAGATCAGCATGATGACGCCAATATTAATTAGATATGGCTAATAACAGCAGCCCCTTTTGATACTGATATTTTTTATCTTAACTGTGAACAGAGAAGTAAAAAAAGCTACTTAATATGGGGTAGAAAACGAACAAATTTTTATGTTTGATGAATTGTATGTTGTTTTTTGGTAAGGTAAATTATTCTATAATTTATGGTTTTTACAGTAATCTTAAGACACAGTATAGATAAGTTGACTATTGGTTTATTTTGAGAAATTTGAGGACTTTGCAAATATATGTTACACAGAAAAGCTTTATGATATTTAGAATGAGCCTGGATAGGAATTGGATTACTGAAAAGAAATTTACCCTCTTAATCTTCGTGAAATGAGATTGTTTTATTGAATGCACTGGGTTGCTTTAATTCGGTTATGCATTAAATTGACATATGAATTGACTTTAAATTATTTGAAGTCTAGCTTTAATGAATGCGTTTCAACCTTATAAATTTTGTGTAATGTGTTGTTAGCTCGGGGCAATTTCATAATGCCGACCAGGATTAACTTAAAGATTGAATCCATTTTCTTTTTTTTTTAAAAAAACAAAAAAAGGTATTACCGAAAATAAAACAACAAATTTGTCAAGGATTCGTTTATAAATTGAAAGGAGCTAAATTTTAATTTGTACGATAAAAATAAAAGATGCCGAGATAATTTCTTGGAATAACATAACCCCTTTTACATTCCCTCGCAAATCTTTTTTTCTATAAAATTAAAAAGATAAACGGATTATTCATGTATGCATACATAATACACATAAAATATACCATATATAATATAATATAATCTATATGAATTTGGAAGGTTGAATCAGGGATATGATAGAGAATGTAAAGGTACAATTGCATCATAATTCATAAATAAGCGATCCTATGGATTGATTCCGTTATTTTTTTGTCGCGAATATGCACAAATCAGGAAACTAAATGAGTTTGAATGGGTGATAGTACTTTTTTAGTCAATTAGGTTCGAAAAATGCAAATCTGATAAAAGCGAACAGGTTCGATCCTAATGGATGAATCTTATTCGTAATTTTCAGATAGTTTATTTATCATATGGGAGCGTTTCCAGTAAATTCAAGTCATGAGACATAGTAAATCATATTATCCTTAACGTTGATTCGGATATCGGGGAAAACTGTTTTGTCTGGTCATACATTTAATTTATTTCAACCTTTCTCAAGATCGTAAACCTAAAACCTCAATTGATGTTTCTTTGTCAGGATGTGGTTGTTCTATCAGTGTAACCAACGTACAAATTATAAGGACTCTCTTTTTATATTAAATTCTATTCCGAATTAATATTAGTAAGGTTAGTTAATATTTATTCTAATTTTACACAATATGATAAGTAATTAAGGTCCTTTTTAACAACGCGTGCCCCTGGATTTGATGCAGATAATAGCTATTCATTTACCTGAATTCAAAATATCATTTTCTCGAACAAGGATCAATCTTACTTAAGATTTTCTTTTTTACATACAAACTTATATTTATATATATACAAATATATATTCATACATACAAATATATATTTTTAATAAATCTTTTTTTTCTTTCAAAATTCCACTTAATAATGTATTTTAAACTTGTTTAGATTTTCTTATATTTCAACGTGTAACTTGTATGTTATTATTAAATCATAACTTTTGCATTACAAAGAATTTAACTTTACTACAAATAAACAAATCAATTGATATATTATTAATCGGATAAAGTATAAATAGATTATATCTTGACATTTTAACTTTATCAATTTTCTACTCTTTTTATTTTATTTTTTTTCGAATTTTAAAAAAAAAAAAAATACATTTTTATTTTCTGTTCTTTTGGTTATCAAAAATAAAACAGAAAAAAAATTATCATATCATTTTCTCCTTTAAAAAGGACCACTCCAATACATCGTACTTTGTTGATACAAAAAAAAAAATGATAATAAATACTTCGCTACCAAGTCCATCTTCCTCTTCTTCAAATTCGTTAAAATCATCGTACTTCACACCATTAAACTTTATTGAAAATACTGATAAATATTATGAAGATGGAGAATGGCAAGCATTCGTCCAAGAAGATGAGTCAATTATTGGAATTCATAGTATCGATTACAATGTAAACAATTTAACAAATGATACATTACAACATAAATCAGGTTCATCAGCATCAAAAACTTCCTTAGAAGTCAATCCCGCACCTGCCAATAATTCATCCGCAGTCCTACATGATGACTTACTATTAAATTTAAATCGCATGGATGATCTTCAACATACAAATTCTTTTTCCTTAACAACACCTATACCGATTGCAATTCCAACAACACCTTCTTCATCGACGGTATCATTATTAGCTTCATCACCTGGTTCTGATATACAAATTGATCGAGACAATTCAAATGTTTGGAAAAATTTCCTCTTTTCTTATGCACGAGGAAATTTTAATCCTTTAATTATACCAAAAAAACCGACTAAATTAAATCTTCATAGAAGAAATAAAAATGCTAGTCATTATAGTAAAATGAGCATTCAAACTAGTCCATTAAGTACAGAGTGCAATTTGAATGATATAAATCATTCTTTAACTTCAGCCTTATTAAAAAGTGAAAACGAAATTGAAAAAAATAATGATAAAACTGTAACCCCTAGTAATATTAAAGATATTATCAATGATAAAGATTTTGTTATTAATGAATGGAGAAATATTAGTGCTCAACACATGGAAGGATATTCTTTTAGTGAGCATGATACGAATATTCGTAATTTATTTGTTGAAGGAGGAGGGGGGATAAATAATGTCGAAGACAAAAATGAAGGTGGAAAAGAAGGTGAGGGAGTATTAGGAGGAGGAAAAGGAGAGGAAGATGATGATCAATATGTACATAGTAATGAATTCAGCTCGGATGATAATGATGATGATGATTTTGAGATTTATTATTTACCTCCTCCTATGCCTCCCAATGAAGCTAAACGTAGGAGAGCGTTGTGGAAATTTCAAATACTCAACACATCAAATGATGTTAATTTTACCCGTATTGTTGCATTAGCAAAAGAACATTTTAAAGTATCAATATCCCTAATATCACTTGTAAACACCACTCATCAATGGTTTAAAGCGGAGGATGGATTAGGATGTAATGGAACAACCAGAGGAATAAGTTTTTGTGGACATGCCATATTACAAGAGAATGGGGAACCATTCGTTGTACCTGATACCCAATTGGATTGGAGATTTCACAAAAACCCTTTGGTCACGGATTCTCCGTTCATAAGATTTTATGCTGGTGCTCCATTACAAACTGAAGATGGTCATAATATCGGTACGATATGTTTAATCGATGATAAACCAAGGGATGATTTCACTGAAAAAGATTGTGAAATCTTGAAAGATTTTGCAAAAGTGGTTATGAGGGAATTAGAATTATGGGTTGATACTTTACGTTTACGTGTAAGGAATGAAATGCAACAAAGTATTGCCGAATTTAGTAAATTTTGTTTGGAAATTCAATTGACCAATAATGAAGAAAATGGGTTAAGTTCTAACACCGGTATTGTCGGTGACCCTATCATGAAGCGATGTTTTAACATGGCTGTTAAATTAATGAGGGATACTTTAAATATAGATTTCGTTTATTTATTAGAGATGCCATCTAGTCCAATAATATCAACTACTTGTTCATCAAATGGGTTCTTTCTAAATAGTCCTCCTCCTGATATATCAACAAAATATTTAAAGTTTCTTGCTTCCGCTGGTCCAATCGAATTGTCTTCTGAGGCGTTAACAGCATCGGTGAATACTTCTTTCCTTTCTTACATGATGCAACATTATTCGCAAGGTTATATTTATCAAAATGCCTTACCTCCTTTACCTACCTTATTTCCGGATGATGTACATTCTGGTATTGTGGTACCTATTTATGATGATTCACAAAATGCTTTTGGTTTCTTAATTGCGATGACAAAAGATCCACTGAGACAATTTGAGGATGAAGAACGTGTTTACTTAAGTAATTTTGGTGTGAACGTCGTTAGTGAAGTATTAAAGAGAAGGGTGATCGTCGCCGATCGAGCAAAAGGTACATTCATCTCTTCTATTTCTCATGAATTAAGAACCCCTCTTCATGGTATTCTAGCAAGTTGTGAGTTATTGGAAGAAAGTAAATTAAATGATGCCCAATCGGAGTTGATTAAGACCATACATGGTTGTGGGACTTCTTTAATTAGTATTATTAATAGCGTATTGAACTTTGCTAAATTAGAGAGTGAAAAACAAGATTATGCTGACGATCAAATATTTGGCGAGAACGAAATTCGACGTGATATTAATAGCACTGATCGTAATAACAATGGCAAAAAGAAGAAGGAACGTGTTAATTTAGTCAAGTTGGTGGAAGAAGTTGCTGAAGCTTGCGTTGTTGGTCAACAAATGGTTACTGCCGTTTATAGTAGTAATAATTATTCCCTTAATAAGGGTGATAACGATGAATTTTTTCGTACACAAGCAAGAAGGAAACATGTTTCTGAATTACTACATCCTCACCAATTTCAACATCAAAATAAAAGTGATTCCTTGGAACAAACTGAAGATGTATATGTTTTGATTGATATTGAGCCTAGGGATGCTGGTTGGTGCGTTATGGCTGATGATGGTGCCATAAAACAAATGTTAATGAATGTAAGTTACGAACATCGTTGTTAAATGAATTGAAATTTTAAAATTAATCATGCTTATTTATTATTATTTATTTTATTTTTGATCTTACTCTTTAAAAGATTGTCGGGTGAGTGTAAATTCATTATGCGCTAATGTCAAAAAAGTTAAATATTCTAATTTTCTTTTTTTGTTTTTGATAGAAATTCGCTGAAATTTACGCAAAAGGGATATGTGCTAGTATCATTAACTACAATACCATGTTCATCATTATGTGAACAATATAAGAAGCATACGAGGGATTTCCCATCAAAATTTCATGCATTATTAACGATCACGGATACGGGACATGGTATCTCTCCATCATTTTTAACGACAAATATATTTCAACCCTTTTCTCAAGAAAATTCACTACAAGTAGGAACCGGATTAGGACTATCTATTGTTAAATTATTAGTAGAGAAGATGGGTGGTAGATTAGATATTGAGAGCGAAGTTGGAGTTGGTACAAGGGTTAGGATTTGGTTGGATTTTGATCAATTTCCATCTAACATTGAAAAACGTTCAAGTTTCTCTTATAAAGATGGTTTAATTTATGAACCATTAGATGATGGTGATGATGATGATGATGATGATGATGTCGTTAGGGATAAAGAAAAACAGCGACGAACCATTCTTGAGGCAATAAAGGAAAAAACATTTGTAGTTAAATGCACCAAGGGTAAACTTAAAGAAATGGTAGAAAAATGTTTAAATAACTGGTTTAAAGTGAAACAAATTATTGTTGAGGAAAATGGTGGTGATATTGAGGGCGATATTATATTTATTAATGATGATCTTGATCAACTAAAAAGAATATTATCTAAAGTTAATCCCAAGTTAACTCCTGTGGTGTTTGTTACTTCTTTGGCTAAACATGGTAAAACTGCTGATTTTGTTGAGAAATTACAAGATGAAGAAGGAAATTTTAAAGACGGAAAGAGAAAACGAAAGGTTGTTATACTTTCACGACCTTGTGGTCCTCATAAATTAGAAAACGCCATTGTTTCTGTTTTTTCAAATTTAAAACTTGATGATAACGCTGCCAAAGAAGTGAATTCAGTACAACATTTGGATGATGATTCCCAACCACAGAATTTGAAAACAACTTCAAATGATAATGTTTTAAAATATTATAATTATTCTTCTTCGGAAGAAACATTAATTTCGAGACAACGATCTCCATCGATTACTCCTCCTACAACTCCAAAAGTTATTATCAAATTTGATGATCATTCAACTGAACCGAAAGCACAGCTTACAAACGTACTACCTTCACGACCTTCTTTCAATCGGTCTAATACATTGCCAAACATTCACTTACAATCACCTTCAAATCGTGAGGCCAAATTCTTAGCAATTCCCAAATCGACCACACCTCCACCTACTTTAATATCAACTTCATTACCAAGCACCTATTCTAGTAATAAGGATAATACTTTATGTCAATTGAAGAAATCTCCGTCTTATAATTCCCTCAACACGTCAAATTTTTCTAAGCGACCTACTTCGGGACCTAGAGTATTGGTGGTTGAGGATAATGCTATTAATAGAATGATTTTAGCTACGTTTTTGAAAAAACGCGATATTAAATTTGAAGAGGCTGAAAACGGTGCGATTGGCGTTGAAAAATTCCGAAGAGCATTGGAAGAAGATGGCAGAGAAAATCCTAAACGAAAAGGATTTGATATTGTTCTTATGGGTAATTAATCAATCTTTGCAAAAAAAAACTAATTTTTTTTTTCTTGGTTTAAAGTAAGTTACTTATATCATTTTATTAATTTAAATTATTATTATCCTTTTGGAAAAAATAGATATACAAATGCCTATTATGAATGGTAACAAAGCAACAGCCGAAATACGTAAAATTGAATATGAATTGAATCCAAAACAACTTCCAAAATTATCACCTTTGTCAGAATATCCCAAATCATCATTGCCAGAAGAAGATTACTTTTCAACGCCTTTGATGACTCCCTCACTTTTCAATCGATTTCCTACTACCAATGATTCTACTATTTCAGGTTTTTCTTCATACATTAACAATAGATATGCTCCAATACCAATTCAAAGCACAGACAATAATTTAAGTGCAAACGCACAAAAACAAAAGAATAAATTATCATATAGAAGAATTTCACATCCCGAGCGACTCTCTCTTCACTATAATTATAATTCATTGAATGAAAAATCTAATCCTTCTAAATTATCACCGCCACTATTAGAATCTAAAATTACTGAAGGTTCAGACTTATCTCCATTGCCTTCTCCCTTACAATACTCGACATTTCATTCTTCTCGTTCTTTAATATTTGCTTTAACCGGTTTAGCTAGTGAAAAAGATAAAAACATTGCTTTTGAGAGCGGTGTTGATGGTTTTTTGACTAAACCAGTTAGTTTAAAAACGTTGGAAAAAATATTTAAAAAATGGTCTGAAAGGAAATGATCGTGTGGTTTAGAATTGTAAATTTGAATAAAATAAATGGTTTTTTTTTCTTTTATTTTTATTATAGTGTATTCTATAAATTTTTTGATTTCATACGTGATTTATCCGAATTTGGAAATATCATCTTAGTAACGTTAAAAAATTAAAAATTTTAAAATTTTGATCATTTGTTGTACCTTTTTACATCATTATTTTACGTTTGGTATACACAACCTCTCAATATCTTTATTTTTATTTAGTCATGCATAACAATCATCATCTTCGATCTCGAATCACCATACAATTGATCATTAATCGTAAAAATAAAAAAACATAATTAGTTCATAATTAAACAATGTAATCAACTATGAAAAAAAAGAAAAGATGATAATTCTTTAAAAAAGCAATTGGATTTGAATTTTTTTTTTTTTAGTAAATGATAAATAACCTGACAACAAACATTACTCATGATAAGCAAGATCGTTTCAAAATGAAAATTTCCATTAAAGGAATTCATTAGTAAATAAAGAAGCATATTCAGCTTCAAAATAAAAACTTAAAATTTTCTCGAGCTTCAACAGCTATATAATCCCTCCTCTTCACCTCCAAGAGAATCTTCATTTGGAATTAAAACAAAAAGATCAAAGCAACAAGAATAATAATAATAAATCTTTCAAATGAAGTTAAATATACTGATTTTATTATCGGTTATTTTAGGGGCCTCTTCTTTTAAAGAAGGTAATTAGCATGAAAATAAAAAAAAGTGGTCTTTTTTTATTTTTATTAATCTCTTTTATTTTCTAAAACCTTTTTTCTTTAGCTAATGCTTCCCCTGTAGCTGAGGCTACTTCTTATGATTATAAAAATTATCATTACAATAAATACTACAAATATTATAACGATAAAAAATATAAGCGTGATTCCTTGCTCACCTCTTACGATTATAAAGAATATTTTGTTTCTTTGATATTATTATAGTAAATATCGTCAAATCATTCATACATTAACGAGCGTCACCCAGAAAAAATGGTAGCCGGACAGATTTTGCCGGGTAACACATGACTTCGGAAATTGGTGTTTCGGGAATTTTATTTATAATATAAAAAGGAAGACATCTATTATTTATTATTTATTTCTACTTAAGTAATATTTTTTTTGTTAAAGTATTTGGCATAGGTCGACAATTTTCTAATATCATAATATCATCGTTAATTTTTTCTAATAATTTGAAATTTGAAGATATTTTTTAGTTATAAATGTTGTTTTGGTTTAATTCCTTGATATTGATTCTAATAAAAAAACAATTGAAAAATATTTATATTATAATAATAAATATACCTTATCCAAATTAGTTTTACATGTATTCTGTTCTTCATTATCACTTTCAATAATATAATTTTTTTCATTTTCAATAATTATATCTTGATTTGATAGAATAATTGTAAATTTAAAATTTAAAGAATTCTTCATACAAAAATACATTTACCACTTACCACTTCTTTATAAGATAAAATTAACCGATAATTTCCATTTCTTTAACCTAGAATATTAAAAAAAAAAAAGTTAAATAATAAGACATTTAATATTAAAAATAAATTATTTTTTACCTTTTTAAAAAATATTAAATCAGATTTTTCAATGAAATTTATTAAATGTTTATATAAAAAACAACTTTGAATTATGCAGGATATGCATATATGAAATTATACATAAGCTGAGCTGGCTTACAAGCCTTATAAGCCAGTTTGCTAAATTTTAGCTTAAGCTGCTATAAATAGCTCGTAAGCTGATTAAGATAGCTTATCATTATGCCATAACTCAGCTTATAGCACAACTCAGCTTATCAGCTTAAATTTTTTATTTTTGAAAATAACAAATCCAGAAGTATTAATTTTAAAGAAAGGTGCTTATAAAACATTCTTTTGAAGTAAACCTTTTTCAAAACTTTTCTTTCAAAATGAAATGCTTCTGAAGCATTTCTTTTATATAAAATTCTTTTAAAGCATTTTTTAAAATTAAATGCTTCTGAAGCATTTAATTTTAAAAAATAATACTTCAAAGTATTACATTTAAATAATAATACTTTCAAAGTGTTTCTTTTAAAAATAATGCTTTTAAAGTATTAATTTTGCTTCAGAAGTATTTAATTTTAAAAAAATAATGCTTTTAGAATATTACATTTAATAAAAATGCTTCTGTAGCATTATATTTAAATAAAATGCTTTTAAAGTATTACAGTTAAATAAAAATACTTCTGAAATATTATATTTAAATAAAATGCTTCTAAAGTATTTTATTTTAAAAAATAAGTATTATATTTAAATAAAAATATGTTCAGATCATTTTTTAAAAATAAATATTTCTAATGCATTTTTAAAGGAATAGTTTCTGAAACTTTCTTTTAAAGGAAATATTTCTGAAAATATTACTTTTAAAGGAATACTTTTATAACTTTTGAATTATTTTTAGAAGCATTTTCTTGAAATAAATTATTTCTGAAAATGTTTTTATAAAGGAAATTATTTTTGGAGATATTACTTTTGAAGAAATTACTTTATTGATTTTTTTTTTTAAAAAGAATCATTTTTGTAGCTTTTTCTTTGAAAGAAATCATTACTATAAGCATTTTCTTGAAAAATATTATTACTGATGGTAATTTTTTGAAAAATTGCTTTAGTACCTTTTTTTAAAAGAAAAAAACCTTTATAACTTTTTTTTAAAAGAAAAGACCTTTATGATTTTTCTTTAAAGGAAATCTTTTTAATCTTTTTTAAGAAAAATTTCTAATATTAAGATTTATAAGATTATTATATAAGCTTTATTAAAATTTATTCTTTTTGGATTTTATTTTTTAGAAAATAAAAAAACTTTTAATGATTTTTATTTTTAATATTTTTTTTTAAAAAAATTTAAAATACCAATTATATCATAAAATAATCAAATAAATTTAACTTTTGATAATAAATAAGAATTATCTTTAATTATAAAAAAAAGAATTTCAAAAAGATATTAATATTTTATATTGAATTTTTTAACAAATCATTGAATTACAATTATTGTAAGTAAGTATTTTTTTTATACTTAAATACTACACAATATAACTTTAATTACATTTTACTATAAAATAGCAAAAATTTTGGTAATAATTTATTTTGTCATTATAAAATATATAAAACATTATTATCAAAATATTTATAAAAATAATGAATTATTACAAATAAAAAAAAAGTTTATATTACAAAGTAATAAAATGATTAATGTTGCTATCCGAAACTAATAAGTTTTAAAACTAACGAAACTCAAAACTATTAAAACTAGTTTTGAAAATTTTCCAATTTTTTAAAACTACTAAAACTCCAAAACTCAACCGAAACTCCAAAACTCAACGGAAACTCCAAAACTCAACCGAAACTCCAAAACTCAACCGAAACTCCAAAACTCAACCGAAACTCCAAAACTCAACCAAAACTCCAAAACTTCAAAACTCAACCAATACTTTAAAACTTAATCAAACTCTAAAACTTAACTGAAACTTCAAAACTATTAA